TTTTATGAAGGTGAATACTTCTATAATTACATTCAAATGCGCACATACTAACAGGCATGAATACAGTTTATATACATACATACATACTTACATGTGTATATGTATACATACTTTGCTAGATGTATAAATGCATATATGTATGTAATACTGTGGTGTACAGCGATATTTTAAATTTTTTTTCTTAATAATTTTGTGCAATATGAAAATCATTCGCTCTTCACTTACTAAGCTTCAAACACGTACGAATTCAGTCAACATCGACAGCTTAGAATTCGTTTCACCTGCGCGATTTCCCTTCAAATTTGTAATAATTCGAAAGTCTGAATATCGAGACGACTCACATATTATCTCAATTAAAATTTTTGTTTGAGTAGAAACTTTTGTATGTCAAACAGTATATAAGTACATAAACAAAAAAAAAAAATAAAAATACTGGAGCTAAAAATTTTACAGATTTTTATACCTCAGTTCTATCTTACATACAAATTTTATGAAAGGTGTTGCTTTATTTTTCGTGGTTCTACTCGTTAGTCAAGAGATTATGATTATGACCAAATTCTCGATATCAAAGGAGATGGCTAAGAGTAGATATAAATTTTATAGTTTTGCACTAAAAATTATTCTTTAATTGAATGTTATCGTGAATTTGAAGATCCATTGGTTCAAAGGTTGATTGCTACAAATTTGAAAGCGAACTGGACACAGTGAGGAAAGCAAACAGCAAAAAAAAGGAAAAATGCAACCCTGGTCCAAATTTTAGAAGCGCATTTTAAGAAATTCGGGAACCTGATTTAAATTTTGATATGCAATGTTATCAAAATCAAATGAAAAAATCTACTTCGTTTGTTTTAAGTTCCTCCCTTGTTTCCAAGCATAAACTTTATCTACCTATTCATGTTTGGCGCTGTATCCGCCTCTGGAATTTAGGCCGAGCGCAACAAAGCACGCCAGTCGTTTCCCTTCTTTCCTGCTGGTCTTTCCATCGCAGAGGACACCTTGTTTTTCCTGTGTTACCAGCGTCGCGATCCGCGTTGTTTTTTTTTTAGAACTGGGGCGTTTCTGTCCATTCGTACGATATGGCCGCGCCAGCGCAGCCGCTGTATTCAAATCCGCTGCACTATGTCTATGTCGTTGTTAAGCTCATAAAGCTCATAAAGCTCATCGTTCAATCGTCTGTGGTATTTGCCATCGCCAGTGCATAAATACCGTGAAATATAAACTCTGATCCAAAACTTGTAAAACTATCAAACAGCAAAAATACTCTCTGAAGTGAGAGTAAAAAGTGAGTAACAACAAAAAGTACGGGAACAAAAAAAAACATTTTTCCTGTAAAAACGTCAACCAGTGATTGCTTGACACTTTTAATGATTTTACCAGAAGAAAAAGTTCGGGTAAAATCTTGCAACTTCATTCTCTACACAACTCTCCAAAAGTCGCTCTCATTTACAGGATTTCGGAGGATTTCGGAGTACACGAACATTTGTCCTGCAACTTCCTGCAAGTTCGTGTAAAATCCTGTAAGTTCATGGAGTACTGGATCAGAGCTATACTGAAAATTATTATTTCAAATTTTAATTTACATTAAGTCTCCACGTTTTTACAACTTTGCTGTTGGAAGTGCCGTTATGCATACATATATGCATATCCGAATACATCATTAAGCATATATGTATCTACATAAATATCTACGTACGTGTTTTGTTTTTATAAAGTATTTGAATATTTACTTAACTACTAAGACAATTTTCACACTTCTTCTTTGGACCACCATGCATTGCGGTCGACTTTTTATCCATCGTTTGAATAAATTCTAAAGGTGGGGGGAATCAGCACCTCGTGAGGTTCCAACAGAGCTTGCAGTTGGCGATTGACTGCTCCACTTCTTTGGCTCGCGCTTACGATTTCATGCAAATTTCAAAGAGTTTCAACATTCTACATACAATTTTTTTTTTGGTCAATATGTATGTACTTTTTATACTTTTTGTTAATTCTTTCCTTTTCATTCAGTCGCTCAACTTTTTAGCGATAAAGTGTTAAATGATTTTGTTGCAACATCGTGACGTTCAAACTTTACACTTGTATTGTGAGACTGTGTAAATGTGTGTACATTATGTATATGAATGTATGCGTATATATAAATTTGGGAGGGGGGAGGGGAGGCTCTTGGATTTGTTTTTGTTTACTTTCTCATCCCACTCGGAAAATAGGTAAGCACCTTACGAGGTAATCCATGTTTTCTTTCAGTTTTTAGTACCGAAATTTTCATCATGACCAATGATATATGGATATATGGATATGGAGGAATAGGTACATACATCGCTGCAAAAATTGCGACTACTCCAGGCACACATGTAAAGAGTACTCCTAAGGGCCAAGGAGTGCTCCAAAATTAACCGAAATGCATATAAAAAATTTGGTGCAGTAAACCCTCTCAGAACAAAAAATCAGAAGATCTGAAAATTTGTTTACTGGCTATTTTTTGGTAATTGATTTCAAAAATACAATAAAAAGATTTTAGAAAACTCTTAGTTTTACCGCTATTCACAGCGTCCATTATATTGGACAGTGGTACTCGCGATTTGTAAACAGGGAAGAACTTTTCAATTCAAAAATTTAATTTTTCATTTTTTCTTTTGCGAAATATATTTAAAAACTGAGAATAAAATTAAATTTTTTTTTAGTTAATTTGTTCATAAATATTACACTACTCAATATCGATTTTTGTGACACTTTTCACTTCCCCAAAATACGGTAAAAGAAATGCGGTAAATAAGAATAAAATACTTTTCTCAAAACAACTGTTATTTTTAACACAAAAGCTCTTATTTAAGAAAAAAAAGCTTTAAGTACAAAAAAAGTTTGTCCAATATATGTCCTAGGGCATGGCCATATACTTCTGCTCTACATTACATCAAAGTACCACATAACTAACATTTACTCCAGTTGTCATAAAACTAGTGCGGTATTCCACGTATTGTCTACGTTTATATATATGTTTTGTCACATGTGTGAGTTTGTATGTGTAATGTCGTCTTTGCAACGATTAAGTAATGTCTAACCATGGACCTTATGTATGTAAATTACATTTCAGTGTTTGTTATTTATTCAGTGTCAATGCGTTCATAGATATATTCTCTACCGTGATCCCATTTTTCTCTGCTGGACATGCCGCATTGTTTTCATGCTTATAAATGCATGCATGTACACTCGGGGACAAAAAGATAGGTGTGCGACATTTTAACCGGTTTTAGCTAATTTTCTTTTGTTTATTTTATGTTTGTTAATTAAAAAAAAAAAGTCTAGTAAATATAACAAACACCATACAAATCCACATTTCAAACTTTATACAAAAATTATAAAAATCAACAAATTTTTACCAAAGTTTCAAACTTTTTAAAAAGAATTTTTGCGAAAATGTTTGGAAAATCAACGCGATTAAAAAGTTTGTATTGTGTAAGCGA